CAGACCGTCTCTTACAGACCGTCTCTTACAGACCGTCTCTTACAGACTGTCTGTTACAAATTGAAGAGAAAATGTACATTTTCTAACTCCATATGTACTCAGCCTCCACTGAAGGCTAAAGCTTAGCTGGGGTTTTGTGCACGTCTTTCTCCCACTCATCTTGTAAACGGTGATTTTCACCTCTTTTCTGGGGTTCTCTAGTGGCCCTAAATTTGAACTCAGCACCCCTGAAAAATAAAGAAACCATCATTAGCATTTTGTCAGGGAGCCGAGTGTCAAACCTTAGATTCACCGAAATATTGACTTCATTTGGAATAAATATGGAATAAATGACACAAATGGGCCAGTAAAATCTAAAATTGTCGGATCCTCAAGGTCACCTGTCAATCAGTCCAGTCAGCAAGTGACCAATCAGCATCAGTTTGTCCCAAAGTGAAAGCCCATTACCTGCAGGAGCTCCAGCCCTGTTCTTCTCACAACATTGTCCACGTTTTACCAGAGCTTTGCCGTCAGAGGGGTTTTGTGACAAATCATCAAAAAGAAATGCTTAAACAAGAGTGTGCAGCATACAGTCCAGACACAGCTACCCTGAGTGTTTTGACGGTGAAATACAGTTTATTCCATTTCTAAAACCTAAGCGCAGTCTGTAAAAATGTACAAGATGATAAAGACTGGCGGCTGAGCTCATGAGCAGCTCAATACAACGGTGATAAACTAAACTAACAAGTGTTCGTCTTTATGACAGTAACTGTATTCTCAGAGTCCAAAAAAGTTCTATCTGGTCCTCTGGACATTAAAAAAAAAAAAAAGAAACCCCTGTGAGTAGTAAACAGCCATCAGGTGCTAATGATCCATTGTTAGGCTGATGGTCCTTCTTGAGCATGTGATCAGCTGGTTCTGGTTGTCAGCAGCAAACTGGTTGATCCACTCTGTGAAGGTGCTATTTAAGAGACTGAGCTGAATACAGCTCCTCAGACTGAGGAAGTCCTCAGGATGAGAGACGAAACGTTTCTACCCAACATTTTTCAGTCAGGTCATCTGGACAGTTTCTTTTTTTTTGTGCTGAAACGTTTCGCCTTCGATCCAGAAGGCTTCATCAGTCAAGGAGCCACACAACAAAACTGGTTCTTCCTCCAACAGCTTACTCCAAAGTGGAACAAACCAGTTCTGCTTGTGTTAAGATGGTCTCTTTGGTACGCGCCCTCCTCCAGTGCCGGCCCTCTTCCTTGTTGACAGTCTTGTCAAACTGGTTGAAAACAACAAAGTCCATGCTCAATAATCCAGGTATACAATCCATCATTTTTCAGTTCAGTCTTGAAAACGATGACCTGACTGAAAAATGTTGGATTTTATACCTGGATTATTGAGCATGGACTTTGTTGAAATATATCTACATTTTTATTTTTTTATTTTTTTATTTAATGTGCAGAGGACCAGATTGAACTTTTTTGGATTTTTCTACCTGGATTATTGAGCATGCAGCAAAATGTATTCTAAGAGCAAATAGTAAAAGTTAGATAAATTAAACCAGTTGCAACTTATAAAAGTTTATACACCTTTATTTTTCTGAGTAGTTTCAAAGAAATGTGTTTTTTCAAGTTTTCAGTCCTTGAATTTATTGATTAATTTCAGACATTGCCCTCAAATAATTTAAGTAGTCTCTGACGTCGCGTACGTGAGGGCATATGTGCGTGCGCCGCCGTTTTCCTTCATGAGCTGGTTGAAACCTACGCCGTCTTGGAATCGTTTTTTTGAGTGAAATCTCGCTCGTTGCTCCAGATGAAACATGTGGGAGAAGGTGCTCTGGTCACATGAAACCAAAATCCAACTGTTTGGACACAATGCAAAACGATATGTTTGGAGTAAAAGCAACACAGCTCATCACCCTGAACACACCATCCCCACTGTCAAACATGGTGGTGGCAGCATCATGGTTTGGGCCTGCTTTTCATCAGCAGGGACAGGGAAGATGGTCAGAATTGATGTGAAGATGGATGGAGCCAAATACAGGACCATTCTGGAAGAAAACCAGTTTGAGTCTGCAAGAGACCTGAGACTGGGACGGAGATTTATCTTCCAACAAGACAATGATCCAAAACATAAAGACACATCTACAATGGAATGGTTCACAAATAAACGTATCCAGGTGTTGGAA